GCATTGCCACCTGGTGGAACAACTGCATAAAGCAATGTTTCTCAACCTAGTCAACTTGAAGTCCACATATCTTCAAGTGCCCAAGGTTGAAAAACACTGGCACAGAAGGAATATTCAGCTTAATGAAATGGTTGTATGCAGGGAACAGAGGCACTCTGGGCATTTCAACGTTTCACCAGTGAAGTGGGGGAAAGCATGCACAGGATCTCAAGGTAGAGGGACATGTCAATGCATGGAAAGGGCAGTTGTTCCCAGACCCACCAGAGACAGGTAAGCCTATCCAGCATGGGTGGGGATAGCAAGATAACAGGGGATGGACCCACCAGGGTCCAGGCTAACTATGGTCAGGACTGAACAGTATCTGGCACAGGCCCCAAACTTTACAACCCAGCAGCATTTTCTGAAACCAGCTTCAGATTCAGATGGTATGGACCTGGGAAACAAACCTCTTAAGGCTCATCGTGACGACCTGCCCTAAGGCTGGGGAATTCTGGGAGTTGAAGTCCACACCTCTGAAAGCTGCCAAGGTTGAGAAACACTGTTTTAGTCTAATCGAGCTTGTTGTATGAACTGAGCCCCTGAAAAACTATTGAGAAAAATCACTTTCTGGGTTAAGTGCTTGAATTTTCAGTTAGGGTGCAGAGAGGAACCTTCGAGGACCCCTTATGCCAGTGTTGTCCAAACTTGGCCACTTTAAGATGCGTGGACTTCAACTCCCAGAATTCCCCAGCCAGCCATGGCTTATGCAATGTACAGATTTTAGAAAATACTTTGGGAGGGGGAAGAGGATGGACGGGGCTCTCCACTTTTTCATCTATAACCCAGTTACAACTCCTTGCCTACGTGTTGTTTTGCTGTTAGCTCACCCCGAGTGGGAGGTGACTAAACAGCCTTGTGGTGTGTGTGTGTGTAGGCGTACGTGACAATCCCAGGCACTCAGCAGGAGTTCAATTGTGCAATATCCCGGACATCCTGAAATGAAAATTCTCATTATTCACTAGAATCCTGGATGTTTCAACTTTATCAAGGCACTTTACACCGTCAGGTACACCGTGTTTTCTGTAGTTTCCTTGTTCCGTTTGGGCTGGTTGGGGTTCACCGCTGATTTTCCACACTGAAGACCTCACCAAGGGCTCTGCTCAGTCAGGCCAAGACAGCATGTGTGCAAGGTGCAGGGAGGGCACACTGATGGTGCAGACCATCACAGAGTGCAAAAACCCATTTCGAGTCTTCTGGAATCTGCATGAAAGCATTGCTGTCGAGTTTCTGTCTGGACGTGTCCAGCTCCAGACCACCTCCCTTGGGCCTTCCCTTCACTGTGGAACTGCCCCATCTGTGAAGAAGTTCTTCTTAACGTCCAGCTGGAAGGGAGATCCAGTGTTGGTCCCAAATGTGGAACTGGGTCAATGGCAAATGTAGCATCTGTGTTTGTACCTCCTGCACAGCTTATTTCAAACAGCCAGTGGGGGATCCTGATAAAGGGGCTTGACTAAGAGAGGGAGACCCAAGTTCTAGACTCCCCTCAGCCCCAGATGAGGGACTTTGGGCCAGCCCAACAGGGTTGTTGTTGTGAAAAAAAGGGGAGGAGGAAATAGGCAACTTGGAAGGCTCTTGAAGGAAAAGCAGGATATAAGTCTAACAGACAAATGAAGATCTCCTGAAGGCACTAGCTCCATCCCCATGGGATAGGCTGGCAGCAGAAGGCGGGTCTTAACCCCTGCAGCCAATCAGCATTTGCGAAGCCCTGATCAGGAGTTCTGTGATGCTTGCTTTGGCAGCCGCTCTTTCTCTCCAGCTCTATTTCTTGGAGGACTGTATGGGTAAAAGGGATCCATTGAAGGGATCTGGGCGATCCTAAAGCAGATCCTAGCACAACCGTTGGAGTTAGTTAGTTCAGCCCTGGGCATGGCTAGATCTGTTTAGGTCTGAAGTTTACCCTTGGGGATTAATTTGCTGGATTGCTTTAGGGTTCATTTATCTTTCTCATTCACTACAGCAGTGTTTCTCAACCTCAGCAACTTTAAGAGGTGTGGACTTCAACTCCCAGAATTCCCCAGCCAGCATGGCTGGCTGGG